CGCATTTTGAGGTACACCTTGAGGAGCTCAACCCTAAGCTGGGAGTATGAATGTTTGAGGTAAGGAGTAGGTAAACATAGCTATAGTTAAAAAGCACTTTGAGGGGTCAGGATGCAAGGAAAGTGCTACATAAATTAAATCCAGTCATTAAGTAATATGTTGAAGCTGTTTATTTTTAAAGCCTGGCTTTGTGTTTGGTTTTAGAGCGATGAGGCATGAAGACATACTTAGAGTCATACTTCTTTAGTATCACTATATAACTTTAATTTTACTCTTCACCTTTTTAGAACAGATACAGACCTCACTTATGTTGTGGTTAGTTTGTTATTTGAAAACTCAGATATTTTTACATTCATAATATATCTTGAAAAACTTTAGGGCAACTAATACAGATTCAGTGTTCTAGATTGTCCAACTATTCAATAATGTTAATTCATCAGAGCATATAATGTAATTAAAAAGCTAAATAATAATTTAGTACGTGATATCCTACCGTTTTTTTTTTTTTTTCGTTTTTTTTTTTATCAGTATCCTCACCCTGTTGTCCATCTGGATGCATCCATACTGTATAGGCTCCTGGATCAGCTGCGCCTCAGTAACAAGGTAGTGCAGCACAGACAAAGCTCCCCCGTGGGTTTGGGCTCCAGCTGGAACAGCCATGCAAGGCCAACGTGTCCCTATTATTGTTTGTGACAGAATCAAGAAGGACATGAAAGTAGTTGAAAAAAAAGAAATGCATGCACCGAGCCTGTGTTTTGGGTTTTTCTGTGAGTGCCCCCATTGTAATTATGGGCATGGGTGGCCAGCAATGACAGCTCATCTGTTAGCAAGCCAGCAGGAGTGTGCAGCACCTGGTGAGCCTTGCGCTAGAACGATGAGCCATAAACACATGAGTTTATAATCATATGCATATTTTTATATGAAACAAGAAAAGACACTATTGTCACATGTACTAACTTGCCGATTATCAACACAAAGAGGAAATTATCACTCACATCCCTTTTCGATGTATCTCGTTTACCTACAAATTAGTTGAGAAGGCAAAGGCTGTACCAATTATAATTATTTGAAAATAAAATAAGATTACTCTTGTCATGTAGTCACTGCTCATTAACAGACAGGGGCCTTATGTTTTGAATTAACTGTAGATTATATAATAATTCAGACTAAATCTTCTACACCGGTTATGGAACATCACTGATAATGTCAGCAAAACATGTTTATATCATTATCGGTAGATTTTAGATGTAAATATTCCTTAAATATATTGTTGAACATAAACTTCAAAATTGGGATCTGTTTTGTCACGTCAAATGAATTTTTTTCCAGAGTACAATGGTTTTGATGTTATATAATCTGTACAATGAAATTTGTATTTGAAAAAAGTCAAAAATATTAAACATTAATACCTTTAAGTTTTTTCCTTATATGGGTAGATTTTCATTTCTCTTAGCTCATAAAATGACTGTTGAAACCAATTATTGTGCAGAATTTTACCTGCGCAGAGAACATTTTTTGTCAATTTGACCATCTCTCCTCTTAAGCCAGTGAGGGATTCAATCGGTTTCTGCTTTCCCTTACACAAAGCCCCTCCAATCAGAAATGAGTAATGACGGGATAGGTTGGCATGCAGTGATCCCAGCTTTCTAATTAGTCTTCCATTAACTTCTTCAACCTTGGAAACTGCAGGGTGCACACTCAACATGCGCACATTTTGCAGCTTCAGACCAAATGTTGGACATCCACTCTAAAGTCAAAGATCTAAAATGAGGTTATTGGGCCCATTTTCTACTTTATAGTGATCATTTCAATCATGCTTGATATTGCTCTAGTTGACCAGTGAAACATTTCGAGTTTATTTCTGGTGCCAGTATTCTTCACAAAAACTCTACAGATTTATCTTTTTGTCCATTATACTTTTTAAAAAGCTCAAATATAGGCAAACTGTATAGTAAGTTTATGTGTCATACTTTGATTGGGCAAATCTAATACTTAACTTTAAGCTTTGATTAGAATTATTTCATTAGGATTCAGGTTTTAATTTTGACTTGGCCACCCCAGTTGGAATAATTTTGCTGTTGCTCCAACTGTTTTTTTTTTATTGTTTTGTTGATGTTTTTTGACTGGTCTCTATTGCAGCTTCCAGGATGGCCAGACAGCAATATCAACAACCTCTAAAGGGACGACTCTCAAACAAACCGAACCCTAGCCCATATTCTAAGGAGGAATGATTACAGAGATCAGTACTGAGGTTAATGTCAGATAACAGATGCGTGTTGCTAAAGCATTCTAATCAACCTGATTAGACTGTTAAATTACCAAACCCGATCTTAGGAAGAATAACTTTGTTTCAATCAGCTACGCAGTTTCTTTCCCTTTTAAATTGCCTTCTTGCAGACTTAACAGACCTTAAGTCATTTATCTCTGTAATGTACATCAATGATGGTGATTATTTTTCATCCATATTTTAACATTGCACATAGCTTGTGTCAAGCAAAAG